TGGCAGTTTTGAACTGAGAAAGTGGCACAGGAGTGGGCACGAGGGCTTTTGAAGGATTTGTTCTGGGCCTTAGGAGTGCTGTCTGTCGCGGTGTGCTTGGGACCTCTCGCCTCCACCCCCTTCCCCGTTTTAGGGCCCTGGAGGGAGGCTTGAAGCTGATCTCAGAGAAGGGGCAGGAAGGGGCCAGCCCGCTGCCCCACACGGGCAGGGAGGATTTCTCCAGGGGCCCTGCTCCAGCCAGGGGGCCCCTTGCAGCAACACCTGAGGGCAGGAAATGCTGAGACTTGCAGGCAGAGTGCCTGCCTCTCTTGAACCCACGTGGCTGCAGTTCATGCCACAAACACCAGAGTGTGCCTGTGTTCTGGCTTGGGCCAACCCCGGAGAGCCTATCCCTTTCCTTTTGGGATTCGGGGCCTGGCCTGGACCATACAGACCCAGGCCAGGAGAGAAGTCCTTGCCCCCTGTCCCCACGTGTCCTCTGCCCTCATAGACTGAGCCTCCCTCCCCACCTCGTCTCCCCCAGAGCACACAGGTCTAGGACTGGGAGCCAGCCAGAGTGGCCTGTCAGCCTGTCCCAGGCCAGGTCTGGGCTGCACCAGAGTCTCTGGCAGATAGGAGGCCCCCGCTGTAGCACCCTGTCTTCTGCCCTTCTCCATCTGTGGAGAGGCTGGGGGTCAGGGACCCCACCCCAGAATCCTGCGCTTCTCCCCGATCCTGGAGGCGTGGCGAGGTGGGCCCGGGGTCCGCAGCTGCTCTAAGGAAGAGCCTTCAGGCGAGCTCCTCTTGAAACTGTCGTAGATCTGTGTGTGTATTTGGGGTGTCCCAGGTAGAGCTGGGAGCCAGCTGAGCTGCCCTGCCCTGCTGGCCAGGATGACACAGGGCCAGTTGGGATGGGTCTGGAGGAGGGGGCAGTCCTGTGCGAGATGAGAGCTGCTCTGGGTCCAGGGTCTTCAGATCCTCAGGCCAGCAACCCCAGTGCGCACTGTCCAAGGCCAGCTCCCTGTCTCATGGGGCCCGCCACCTGCAGAGAAGAGGGGGCACACCCCAGGCCTAATAGGAAGTGTCCAAGTGTCCTGACCTGGCCCTCTCGGTTTCCCGCATCCCTACAGAGCGCTGCAGCCCCCAGCCCTGTGATGGGGAGCATGGCCCCAGGTGACGCAATGGCTGCAGGCCCCATGGCGGCAGGCTTCTTCCAGGTATGGCCAGGGCTGGAGTCCCCTGGCCTCCAACTCTGGGTGGGGGTCCCATGTGGGCAGACTTCATGAGGCCAGCAGGCTGGAGTTGGGTGGGAGGGTCCTTTGTGAGGCAGGTGTGCCTGGCTGGGCCTTTCTGGGGCCAGTGAGGGAGGGCCCAAGTATAGTGGAGGGTGAGCATCTGTGCGATTGGCCTGTACATGCGTGGGCACAGGGTGCTTGGGGATGCAGTGGCCACAGTGGTCCTGGTGACCGCTGATGCCCGAGTCTTGCCCTCAAGCCTTCCCACAGGGTCCCTGTCCCATCGGCTGGCCCACCTCTCCACCTCTGTGGAGCCTCTCCCTCCTCTGCCAGACCCAGCAGGGCCTCGCTTCCCACAACCCACCCAGTTCTGTCCTCCTAGGGCCCCCCCGGCTCCCAGCCGCCCCCCTACAATCCCAACGCCCCCACGATGGGGCCTCACAGTCAGGTAAGGAGCTGTGGCGCCTGCCCCGCACACACACATCCCCACCCCCAGCGCCACCCCCTCCTGCCCCCATGGCATGGTGCCCTGGCCGGCGCCAGCTGGCTGGGCTTTGCTGGCTGGTTCTGGAGGAGGGGTCTCCCCAGGCCGGGGGCCCCGGTATAGCAGAAACAGGGTAGCTTTAGGGGTAGAGGGTGGGGGAAGCTGCTGATCCCCACCCACCTCTTCCAGCCCTTCATGTCACCGCGGTTCCCAGGGGGCCCCCGGCCCACCCTGCGGATGCCGAGTCAGGTGAGAAAGGGATGAGGGGAGGCGGGGGCAGGAGCTGGGCCGGGGAGGGAGCACCCCACACTCAGCGCTGCCGCACCCCCTCTGCAGCCTCCCGCGGGCCTCCCTGGCTCCCAGCCCCTCCTCCCTGGCACCATGGAGCCCTCCCCACGAGCCCAGGGTGAGTAGGGAAGCTCTGCCCCCTGTCCGCCCATTAGTCAGAATTCCAGTTCTAGGCGCTCCAACCTTGCTGCCTCCCAGCTGTCCACACTGGGGAGTGGTCCAGGTCCAAGCCCCTTCCCTCTGCCCCACCCCAGGGCATCCGAGCATGGGCGGCCCAATGCAGAGGGTGACGCCTCCTCGGGGCATGGCCAGCGTCGGGCCCCAGGTAAGAGGGAGCCCTGGTGGGTGGGGCCCTCAGACTGTCCCCGGTCTGCCCCTCACCGACCCTTTGCCTCCCCAGAGCTACGGAGGTGGCATGCGGCCCCCACCCAACTCCCTTGCCGGCCCAGGCCTGCCTGCCATGAACATGTAAGGCCCCCGGGACCCCAGGAGTGTGCAGCTCGCAGGCCACCACCAGCTTCATGGCTGGGTCAGCTGGGATGGGCCCTGAACCCTCAGGACAGCCTTGGATATTGTTTATTTCATGGCCACTGTTGAGTGGGGAAACAGGACTAAGGTAGCAAGAGTTCCCCACGGCCAGTGATGGGCTGGGGTCAGAACCTGAAAGCTCATGCTGGCCACGTTAGCAACGTCTGCTGCTCTGCGGCCTGCCTGGGGACACAGTGGAGCAGGGTGTGGGGGATGTGGGGGTGGTGGTCATCCATGTGGACTAGCCCCAGGGTCTGTCACCCACGGTCTCTTCCAGGGGCCCAGGAGTTCGAGGCCCGTGGGCCAGCCCCAGTGGAAACTCGGTGAGTCTAAGGCTAGGTGGGCTGGAATGGGGTGGGGTGGGAGGGGCACTGGGTCAGCTGCCTGGCCGACTGCTCACAGCTGCCCCTGTCCCCAGATCCCCTACTCCTCCTCATCCCCCGGCAGCTACACGGTGAGTCTGAGCAAGGATGTGTCACCCTGGGCAGGGGCTGCGGGATGGCAGATGAGGGGCCATCTCTCACAGTCCTTGTCTCCCTCTGTGTGCAGGGACCCCCAGGAGGAGGTGGGCCCCCTGGAACACCCATCATGCCTAGCCCTGGAGGTACAGCCTAGACAGGGGTGGGGTGTGCTAGGGTGGGTGTGCTTGGGGGAAACCCCCTCACACTCAGCACCCTTCCTGTCTCCTGGTCTCCCCCAGATTCCACCAATTCCAGCGAGAACATGTACACCATCATGAACCCCATTGGGCAGGGCGCCGGCAGGGCTAATGTGAGTGGGGGCTTTTGGGGGTGCTTCTTGAGGCGGTGACCCCACTCGGAGGATGGGTGGCCCGAGTCCCACACTGTCCCCATGCCTGCAGTTCCCCATCGGCCCTGGCCCGGAGGGCCCCATGGCCGCCATGAGTGCGATGGAGCCACATCACGTGAATGGATCCCTGGGTGAGTGGAATTCCCTGCTCCCGCCCAGGCTGCTTCCGGCCCGGGCCCACGCGCCCCTGGCTGCCTCCCCCCACCGCCAGCCTGTCTGGTGGAGGCATCGGGTGGCGCCCTGAGCCCCCCAGGGGGGCCGCTCAGTGATGGGGGCTGACCCGAGCTGGGGGGATCCGGCGACAAAACCAGGGGATGCACTGACCCAATCCTCCACCTGGCCTCAGTTCTGGGGCTTCTTGCGGGGTGCGGCGGCGGGGGAAGCTCCCAAGGGTCGTTGGACCTTGGAGGCCGGGGGGCCTGGCACCGGCATGTCTGAGCTGGTGTCCGTGTCGGTTCGCAGGCTCGGGCGATATGGACGGGTTGCCGAAGGTAAGGGGGCCGCACTCCTGCTAGGGGTGGGTTGCGGGGGGGCCCGCAGGGGTGGGGGGCGGGGCAGGGAGTTCTGCGCTGACGGCGGCCGCCCCCAGAGCTCCCCCGGCGCCGTGGCCGGCCTGAGCAACGCCCCGGGCACCCCGCGGGATGACGGCGAGATGGCCGCCGCCGGGACCTTCCTGCACCCGTTCCCGAGCGAAAGCGTAAGCGACTGCGTCGACTCTCCCCCCGCGGCGGCGTCGGGCCGGAGGGGCCTGGCGGGCAGGCCCCGGCGGGGCGGCCGGGGGGCCAGAGCAAGACCGTGACCGCGGCGGGCCAGGTGGGGGGGCGGCCGCGGCATCCTTCCCCTCCTCCCAACCTCTCTCCATCCCCCACCACCTCCCGCTCCTGTTTCACCATCCAGATCCCCTCCGTTCCCACCCCGGGACACGCGCCCAAGGGCAGCCTCCCCATGCATCGCCCCTCCCCCATTGCCTCCTGTCCCCGCCCTGTGTCTGCCGAAGACCCAGCCCTACCCTGTCCCCCCATTGTCCCCTGGGGGCGGGTCCCAGCCTCTTCCGGAGCTAAGCCCGGCCCCTGCGCGCTGCCCCCTCCTCTCTCCGCAGTACTCGCCAGGGATGACCATGAGCGTGTGATGGGGCGGCAGCCCCAGGCCTCTGCGGGCCTAGGCTTCTGCCCAGCGCCCCTGCTCAGGGCGAGGGGCTGAGGTCACACCTCGGGCACCTGGACTCCTGGCCAATCAAGGCTTACCCAGCTGGGAGGCCCCACATGAAAGACTTTTATCATTTTATTAAAAACGCAAGGACCTCAGAGACGTTCTTTTCTGTATGGACCCTTCCTGCCATTTGTATTTTGTTCCAGAAAGAAGGGCTCTTTGGGGGGGGGGGTCCCCTCTCCCCAGGACGTCAGGGGGTGGGCCCCATCAATAAATGGAACCTGGTTTTGGTTTTTGGTAGCGTGTCTGATTCCCTCTTTGGTCTTTGACCACCACGCTGTCCACCTTGTGGTCTTGTTTCCCACCCCACCCCCCATCTAGCCCCACATTCGACTGAGGCTCTGGGTTCTGGGCTCTCCCTGGGAGTTGGGGTGGCAACCATGGGCAGAAGGATTGGGACGGGAAGCTGGGCGCTCAGAGTTGGGGAAGTAGAGGAAGGCAGAGCCAGGTGCCAGGCCCCAAGAACCCCAGGTGGAAGGACAGCTGAGAGTGGCAGCAGCTTTATTGTCTTTGGGGCAGCCTGGAAAGGTGGGGTCCTGGGGGACAGCGGGGAGGAAGGGCTGGGAAGCTGTGTGACTGACAGGGGCCTCAGGTGGTGGGCATCTGGGGTTCCTCCACTTGTGGGTGCCCATTGGCATCACCGGTGCAGCCGTTGGTGGAAGCAGGTACCGGTCCTTTCTTGTTTGACACAGGGCAGGTGGCAGCCAGGGGTCCAACTTGCTTGAGGCTGGGCCCTGGGCGCTCCATCTTGTGCTCCAGGAGCATGTGGTTCTGTGGCGGGAGCCCCACGCAGGCCCTGGAGAGGCCACACAGCTCAGCAGAGCCAGACACCGGATGGGGAGAAGGTGGGGGGGGTGTCCCTGCCGCCTACAGCCCTTCAGGCCCTATGCATAGCTCAGCCAAGGGGTAACTGGACCCCGGGCGGGAACCTGGAGGCTGGGGCACACCTGAGGATGTTCTCGATGCAGCTGCGCTGGCGGAAAAGCGCATTGATCACCGGGCTGCCCGGCGGCACCAGCGGCGCCTTGAAGAGGAAGCTGAGCAGGGACAGCACAGGGTGGAAGGTCTGCGGCTCGGGATCGGCGTCAGTGCAGAAGCTCACGCGCTGGCACAGCTCGGTCAGCAGCGCCAGGTCTAGCATGATGGGTGCGGCCAGCAGGGAGTCCTGTGGGGTGGGCGGGTCAGGAGGTGGAGGAGGGTGGCCAAGCCCCGCCTCCCACAGCAGCCCAGGAAGTGGCGCACCTCGCACGTGTTGTGCAGCACCAGTGTGTTGGTCCCGCCCAGCATCAGCTCCGACGTATACTCATCCAGCGCGCGCTTGCTGTCGCCCACGTACGGCACGTACTTGATGACCACCTGGGGTGCAGCAGGAGTTTGCCCGGGTCCCTGCCACCCCCCTTTGGGCAACCCCGCACCCATGCCCGCGCCCCACGCACGCAGTGGTCGGGCTCCTCGCCGGGCGTATAGAGCACGGGGTTGCTCTGCACCATGTCGTCCACTACGTTGCTCTTTGACACCTCCTTAGAGCGGAACTGCAACGGTGCCGACAGGTTCTGCCCGTCGTTGTTGCCCAGGTGGTTGTAACTCACGATGGACATGGTCTGTGAGTACAAGTGACGCCCCGGCAGCTGCAGGCCCTGCGGCCCCACAGGCCAGGTGCTCGCAGCCCAGGCCCTCTTCCTGCACTCGGGAGCCCCCTTGGCCCACGCACCTTGAGGCCAGAGCTGATGAGGAAGTCCACGAGCACAGACTTGACTTTGGTCTGGCCAGACTTGAAGTCATCTCCGCCCACGAAAACCCGGCGCTGACACGCGAGCTCAAGAGCTCCGGGCACCAGGGTGTTCTGCGGGGACCCATTAAGGAAGGCACAGCCCTCCAGGATGCTGGCGACGGCGAAGAGTGTGGAGGGAGACACCTCCAGGCCAAGCTGTGGGCAAGGTGGGCAGTCAGCACTGAACTTGTGTTTGAGCTGGCCCTGCCTGACCCGCTCCACCCGGGCGTGCACCCACCTCAATGGTGCGCAGCAGGTTCTCGGCCGTGTCGTTGAGGCCTGGAACCACCTCACAGAAGCGCTCTGTGTTGGCCGTCCACAGCACGATGACTTTGTCCAGCCCCGTGCTAGACCGGAAGTCTCGGATGTCCTTGCGGATCTGCTCCAGCTGTGGGGAGGACGGAGAGGGTGTCGGGAGGATGGAGAGGGTGTGGGGAGGACGAGGAGGGTGTGGGGAGGACGGGGAGGGTGTGGGGGAGGACGGGGAGGGTGTCGGGGGGAAGGAGAGGGTGTCGGGGGGATGGAGAGGGTGTCGGGAGGAAGGAGAGGGTGTCGGGAGGAAGGAGAGGGTGTCGGGAGGACGGAGAGGGTGTGGGGAGGACGGAGAGGGTGTGGGGAGGA